GCAAGCCTCTGCAGTTCAAATCCTCTTGCCATGGCACCAGCTTTAGATGCCTCTGAACCACGAGATGGCAAGTGCTGTTGCAGTTCTCTCTCTCTTTTTCATCTGAATTCTTTTTTGTGTGGTTGGGAGTGTAGCTAAGAGGAGTATTTACAAAAGGTGAAAAAAATAGACCTTATTCCCAACCACTTTTCTTCGTGCTGTAATAGTCATAGTCACATCACTCACTGAAATGACCTCCGTCCCCATTCTGAGTTTTCTAAGAAAGCATAAGGCACTTCCATACCCTCATTGTTTCCATTCTCCAGTCCTTCCAGCTGATCAACAGGAGAATGTGGAAACTCTCATTCGGTGTCTTGGAATAAAAAGAAAGAGACATCCAAGGTGCCTTGCCGTTCTTCTCCACTGCACTGATGGTAAAATGAACGTCAGCCCTTTTGCCACAAGGCATTGCAGCAGTCTGAGTGGATGAAACTAAAAAATGCAGACAGGAACTCATGTAATGGTGGGGAAGAGAGGGAGAGAAAGGGAGCTGGGAGGTGGGGTGAGTCAAGAGCACCTGCAAGGGAAAAGCAAACTTTCCACAAGCTCTCCGAAGCCGAAGGGTTACGAAGAAGGAGCCAACTTTGCTCTGGTTTCAGATACTCTGTGGCAGAACCAGAGGGGGGAAAAGCCTCTGCAACTTAGCTCTCAAAACAGCAGATTTCATATTGATCACATGCCTGCTAGTCCAGAGCTCACCTTGGTGTCTCTTAGTGTGTTGTTTTTATAATTGCCTCATGCCAGAACTGCTATGAAATTTTAATCAAAAGCTACAAAAGAAAGCCAAGATTTCAGTGCAGGGCAGACTCCCAGTGCCATGCTGCTAAGCAACTTAAGTATTATTGCTATCTTCTTATGGGACCTCTTTTACTTCTATGTGACATGTTCTACAGTTATGTTCAATTTTAACTTCACCAGTTGTTTTCCTAGATATCACTAACTTGTTTTTCCACTGATTTTCTGTGGGGGGGGGGGCATTATCAGTTGTGCAAAGTGAATTTGAAATTCTACTGTCCAAAGGCTGGTTACAAAATGCTTTAATTAGATAGCCTTTTAAAAAACCTAATTCAATGAATGCACAGCCTATCTAATCATACCTCAGAAGTATGTAGCATTGAAGCCAACATCCTCAGAATCATGTCTACAATTTACAAACTGCTTATTTGCTTATGTTTGCTTGAAAACAGATCATGCTGAGCCTAACTCCTAAGAAAATGTCTAACAGTCAGGCTTAACACTCTTAGCAGAAATGTTCTCCCAGATCATTTTCAAAAGTCATCCAGCCCTAGTAAGTACATTGTTCACAAGCCCTATAAAATTTCAGAACCTAACACTTTAATGGATCCAAACAATCTCTAATGGATCATTCTTAGAGTGATGCATTAATGAATCAGCATGAAATTGTTTTGCGACATTTAGTTAGCTGAGTCCCGTGAAGTCTGGCTTTAGGAAGAAATGCCTGTCATCTCGACCCGTCCCCATTGACAACTAATAGCTCTTCCAAATGCACCCCTTGTGAACAGCCATATTCCTGTTTTACTTCCTTTAGCCTTGCCAAATGTAATAATGTTTAGTTCATCGCCCCACTCACATTACATGCTCAAAATATGCAAGTTTGTTTGCTGATCATAATTAATTCTAAGCCTTGATTACAGGTAGTCCCCAGTTTTAGAATGAGTTCCGTTCCCAAGGTCTGTTCTTAAGATGAATGTGTATGTAAGCTGGAATAGTATTATTGTATAATACTATATAAGTAGTATCGTGCAATGAACTCGAATCATTGTGTATTTAACTTGAATTTTCTACAATAGGTTCTGTTCTTAATTACAGGTTGTCTGTAAACCGGGTGTTCTTAACCCGGAGACTACCTGTACTTTCAGCTAACAGGTTATCTTTGTATAGTTAAGCCTACTAAATCTGTCCCTAAATCTTATATTCTTGGTGTTTTCTAAATTAAATCTTAATGACACGCTTACTTGCTTTAATTTTAATTTAAACTGTATACCTCACACCATTTATACTCTGTTCCACAATCTGTAACTGGAAGTGTCCTAGTGCATGTTTTCAAGAGTTTCCTAATTGTTTCCTAATAGATTTGATTCCAATATTGTGCATCCGATGGTGTCCATGTGAGAAATTTTTGCTTATGTTGCTTAAAGCAGCTATTGGCAATGAACAAAGAATGCTCTTCCCCAAACATTATTAACCTTTCTCCCACACTATGGTGTTACCCAGTCAAAACTTTCCAGTAATTTAAGGTTCTGCTATTTCTCCAACTTTTGCACTTCAGTCACCTCTGAGTAATACGTCCTTTATTGATGCTGCATTTAGCACCTCTTTCGGTTTTGCCACAAAATTCTTTTGTCGCGCTCCATTGCCTCTGTAGTAAGTGCACAATGTGTAGCATTGGTGCTAACTGGACACGCACTCATTCTAATTAGTAATTTACAACAAGACCTGACTGTACATACAAATGACAGATCAATCCTCTGTGAAAATATGTCTTTTTTATTCCATAAATAATCCAGTGTTATTGCAAATGAGGTTTTGATTTCACCTCTGACTTTTCCAATCTGCGTTCTTTAAACCGTAGTAGTAGTTTCCTACTATCAAACTCAGTATGGAAAATATACAGTACATCTTTTAGCAAATGTTCAGGACCAAAGGATGATTTATATTGCATACATGTAAAAACTTTTATCTGGCAGTAATCCCAGGTGAATTCAGTCAAATCTATTTCTAAAACAGGCACGCATAGGATTGGACTGTCACTTAGGTAAATTAACAAGCTAAATGTACATTTTTAACTGGAAAAACTGAAATGGCTACATTTAGTTTCTTATAGCACATCTTTGTCAATGCAGCTTCTTCGGGTTGTTTCCTCCTAATTTGAAATACTGGGTGCTTTTAGATGGGGCCCATGTTGCATAAATCACCTAGCCTCACTGCGGGAATTTCCCCCAGATAATGTGGTTCATTTTGTAACTGACCCATATTCTATCATTTTGTATCCATTTTTTTTAATAACTGACCAAAAAGGCATGAGGGGAAAAAAGAGAATAGCAATGCAATTATGGAATAGATGAAGACAGAATTTTTCTTGGGGAAGGCGGTTGATATGATATGGATGGCATTCCTTCCTCTCTTGCCATGACTGTCTGGTTGCAGAATTATTTTTTTAACCTATACGAATTATTTTTTTAACCTATACGGCAAGTCCTTATCCCTTACCCAAGGCGCTTAATATATAGTGAAATCCCACTGAATTTACTTCGAACTAACCATTTGTAGAATCTGGCTGTGGTCCTCTTTACTTTGCTCTCAATACGTATTTTTAAAAGCAAAACGGAAGAACAATTTATGCCAAATTTCTTCCGTGATTGACGCTCAGCTGAATAAAAACAACTGCCCAATTGTTCACAGAGAAGATAATCTGAAATACAAATAAAGCAGCAAAAATAGCTTGTGCCTCTTTTAACTTCAAATCATTTACTCCTGTTTAGAAGTAAATCCATAATATGAGTTTATTGGCAAGATTAACAACGCCATTTGTTCAGTCAAATTCTTTTAGGGCCTGAAACCAAACCATGACTGTTAAAAAAAAAGTTACGACACCCCCACTAGCCTTGAGATGGTGGTGTGTACGTGCACAGGAGAAAGGGTTAATCTGTCCCTGTTGCATCATATTCCCTCTGCCCCCACCATCCCCACCAGTGAAATGAATTCCATTAGTTGCTAATTTTGACATTTTAAAATAGGGAAGGAGTTAAAATGGTTTGAAAGCTTTGTCTCCTTCTTCTGAATGCACATGCCTAGTACATTGTGAATAAAATTCAGAGACATATCAATTTTGGAGAGGTTGTCCCTTGGTTAAGTCTTCCAGCCACCAAAACTTTGCTTAAAACAGCATCAAATAAGGCACTGGAGCTGGCTTTGTAGAATGGCTCTTACTCCATGCTGACCTCAGCACAACTAGACAAAGTCCCTTATTCAGAACATACTGCTTCTGTAAATCTGCAAGTCAAGCATACTAGAAGCATTAAAGCATTAAGGTAAGTTTCAGTGCAACGTAACTGCAATTTAAAGTCTCACTCAATGAGTATCATCCCATGCAGGTTTACCCCATTAATGTGTTGTGAGCAAATTACCTTAAATCTCCTGCATTTCACCCCCCATTTTCTGAGAAACACAGCCAAACCAGCACAACTGCTATGATTTCTATTTACCTTCTATGATTCATTGTTAACATTTAAATAACCCTGCCCACCTCCCCACAAAAACCTGGATTATTCCCATGAACACCTGTGCATAGGAAATCTTTGCATCTGAGACATACATCTCTTATTTGGACATTTGTTGGAATCTATTCCAAACATGCTGACAAGCAGGCATTCCTGTGTTCAAGTTATTAATTATCCAGGTTGTTGTTACTGTGTCTTCCATCTATAAGTTTTATTTTGATTGGAGGATCAAATGCATTCTTTCAGAGCAAATTAGAGTTCTATTTCTTTATATTGTGGGGAAAGGACCAAAGGGCTAAAAATTGCCTGAACTAGAAAACAGATTAATCTAATGAAGAACACTTTTAATGCACACTGTCTTGCATTTGCAATTATGAATGTAAAGATTAGAAAATCCATTCAAAAATAAATATCTCAGATGTGAAATAAAAGATTGGAATTTAAGTTTCCAAGATTTGCCAACACTCCTTTTTTTAAAGTCAAAGAGTGAGAAAGCAAGACCAAAATCTGCCCATCTTGACTAGCTTCAGCAAGTTTCAATGTCAAAGCCCCAATTCAGATGTAGGGTGTTTTGTTTTATATACACAATATAATATACTTTCCCCAACAGTATTTCTTTAGAGAATTAAGTATTAAAAATTGCAGCTTTTCTTCCTTTGAAAAGTTTGAAATAAACAAAACAGGGGATACCTTTTTTTTAATTATGGAGAAAGCCAGCTTTTTGTTTGTTTATACAAATATATATTTTCCAGGACTTAATTATTTGATCACAAATGACCTGTGCTTAACCACCATCATCATCATTACAGTGCACTGTAATGCATTTGATCAGAAACAGGAGGAAATGCAGGAACTCTTAATCCAAGCATGTGGCCCCAATGGGAATTTTTGCACCAACGGCCAAGACGGGGGAGAAGCACAGCTTTGCGGTCCCTGAGATGATTGATGTGAAGGAGAAGCCCGGGAGGAGCGGCGGGAGGAAACGGCTACACAAGGGATTCGCACACGGGCACTGAATCCGAGTCCTGACTGTGCATAGAGCTCAATCCCGTGTCGGAATCCTCGTCCTCATGGTCCTTGCCCAAACTCCGGGCGGCTTGCTCCCCCCAATCTTCCGAGGTGATCGGGGCCGGGGCGGGTAGCTCGTCGCCCGTGTCGAAGGGGAGGTCCCGCTGCTCGTCCTCGTCCGGCGACGCCGTCTCCTCCTCCTCCTCCTCCACATGTAAGGACTCCAGGGAATCGAGCAGGCGCTGGAGCTCGCGCTCTTTTTCGGCCCAGGCGTGCTGCGTAAATTCCAGGTCCGACTTCACGGCGTCCAAGTCCGTGTTGAGGCGCAGCCCGATGTAGAGGCTAGTGCTCAGCTGCGTCTTGACGCGCTCCTGCTCGGCGTGGAGCTCGCCGCCGCCGCCGCTCAGCTCGGTCGTGTTGCAGTCTGTCTCGGAGAGACTGGCGCTGGA